CAAATATGCGTCATGACTTTTCCAACAACCCAATATTTTACTCCTTTGTAAACATCAAGACTGAAGCTGCTTTTCATATTTAATGAATTCTATGAGCAACTACCTTATTAAGACTGCTTGAAAAAGTAACTTCCCCCTCATTTATCTTTATACTTTTAGTTTGTTTCACAGGATGGTTTATAATATGACTTTCAACAACATCGAAAGCATGTGGCTCCATTTTGGGGGCAAAAGTTTAAAGGAGTTTGAGCTGATGTTCCGTCCCTTTGGGGTGGTAAGGCAAAAAAAAAAATCATAATCTTGATAAGAAGCAAATAGTAATGGTAGTGAAGAGAGAAAAAAAAATAGGAAGGAAGGATTACTATAATAAGCCAGAACCTGAAGAGGATGTTCCAGCACCTCATTGTGCACAACAAAGGTACATGGACACAAAGTCATCTCAGTCCCGTGCTTTCTCACCTTGATTATATCGGCCCTACTATCACAAACTTTGTGTAGAACAATGGAAATACCCCCTGCTTCACTATGGAAGATGGGGAAGTGTGAGTGTAGAAGAAAGCAAGACCCATTTCCTGGGCATACCAAATTTGAAACCCTAAATGCAAGAATTCTTATAGAATTCTTCACGGTGATAAACTGGTGAAATATTCTAGTGCTAGATGGCCTTAGATATATGCGGCGCCAAGAAAATGTATACACATTTTAGGAAAGGAAGAAAAACTACTAAAATTGTAATAATCAATATATACTGATAACAAAAGATGAACACATGTCATGTTTGACTTCTATAATTACAAGAGGTGCTCAAAGTGGTTATCATCAACGTCCAGACACTTCTGATTACGGTGAACTACTGTTTGAGCAACGCTGACCAAAGTACTCACTTGTATACATTATAAGAGATGTTAATTATGTATTACTTTTTATAATTGAATTGAATTATGGTAGCAATGTATAGTATGACATTTACTCAAAAGGTGGCGTTCATAAATGAATGCTAGCATCATTCATTGTATAACAATTTTGATAGTTTCTTTTTTTTCTTAAAATATGTATACATTTTTGGCACCCTCTGTATACATACATTTACACACACACACACACACACACACAAAAACAAAAACAAAAAAAAAACGCGTTCTGATAATTAATAAGTTCATGAACTTTTTGCAACAATGTTGCTAAACTTTTTTGATATCAGAGGGATTATTCATTATGAATTTGTACCAACTGGACAAACAGTTAACCAAGTTTACTATTTGGAAGAGCTGAAAAGGTTATTTGAAAAAGTTAGATGAAAACGACCTGAACTTTTCACCAACAATTCATGCTCTTGCATCACAACAATGCACCAGCTCACACGGCACTGTCTGTGAGGGAGTTTTTAGCCAGTAAACAAATAACTGTTTTGGAATGCCTTCCCTACTCACCTGATCTGGCCCCCCAAGGACTTCTTTCTTTACTTGAAAATAAAGAAAATATTGAAAGGAATACATTTTAATGACATTCAGGACATCAAAGGTAATATGATGATAGTTCTGATGGCCATTCTAGAAAACGAGTTCCAAAATTGCTTTGAAGAGTGGATTAGGCACTGGTGTCGGTGCATAGCTTCCCAAGGAGAGTACTTCAAAGGTGACCATAGTGATATTCAGCAATGAGATACGTAGCACTTTTTCTAGGATGAGTTCGCACACTTAATTGTCCAACCTTGAGCATGCATGTGTGTCTATGTATCTATCATCTATCTATATGTACCATATTTCCCCATGTATAAGATGCTCCCATGTATAAGACACACCTTAATTTTGGGGCCTGAAATTTGAAAAAAAAATGTATTACATAAAGTTGCTGAACTCAAGTTTTATTCATCATAAAATTCACACAACTCCCATCACTGTCAAAACTCTCAACCATTAGCTTGTCCTTATCTGTGTCGGATTACGAATCACTGTCTTCATATATTGCCTCGTCCTCAGTTCCATCTATGGCATCTGAAATCTACAACCACTGTATAAGATGCACCCAGTTTTTAGACCCCAAATTTTTCAAAAAAGGGTGTGTCTTATACATGGGGAAATATGGTTATCTATCTATCTATCTATCTAGATAGATAGATAGATAGATAGATAGATAGATATAGAGACACACACACACACACACACACACACACACACATGCTAAAATTTTTTCACTGAGTTAGACTAGAGATTGAACCAAAGTGGATTTGCAAATAAAACTTTACAACAAAAATTCTTTTTGAAAGTTTGCAAATGCCATAACTGTGTTTCAACTTATAGTATCATGATATAAGTTAAATACTAAATATTTTTGAAATACAAAATAAATAGTCCACTTTAGTGGATAATATAAGACAGATGATACAAAAAAATTTACTAAATATATTTTGCCTAGGAAAACTACTGTTTTAAATTCCATTCCCCTCCAAAAAATTTCCTAGCCCAAATCACAAACTAATGATATCATACATGGTATTGGGGAAAAATATTTCAAATCTATGATAAACCCAAACAAAGCAAATAATTTAACTACAAATACTTAAGTGTCATCTACAGAGATTACTGCTCATTTTATTGTCTGAAATAGAACTGTGTCACTCCCAGTGAGAACTCTTGCTAAGTAATATAAGAAACCATTTGGTCTTGTTAACATTCCGCTTTCTAGAATGAAATTCAGTACTCCAAGAATACATGGGCTTAGGTCATTAAATCTAACCTCAATAACTAGTAATCAATAGGAATGAAAGAGAAAAAGACCAAATTGAGGGCTGAATTATTCTAGAAAACACAATTGAAAAGAGCAACATGGAAAAACAACTGATCTGAGCTACCTAGGTAATTTTAATTTTTTAATTAGCCTTGTTTAGCACCTTTCATCTCTATCCATGTTTAGTTTTTTGTTTGTTTTTTTATCTATGTTTAATTTTAAATTACTGATCCCAGAGCACTATTAGAAATATCACAGCACTGATGACCCAGAGATGTTTTATCACCATGACATCCTGTTTCTAAGGAAGACATGCACATATTCTCTGTACTTACTGGAGATGTTGATACCTGGGTTATTCTTAACTGGCTTTCCAAATCTTGTACTTTGTTTTTAAGTTCCATATTTTCTGTTTCTAAGTCTTGAATCTAAAAAGCAAATGATTATTGAATAACTTTCAGAAACGTATCCTTGGTAAATACTATTATAAATGACACATTCATGAATAGGAGTTCATATTTAAAATTTTAACATATCCTTTTGTGCACAGGGGAGACAATTATTTGATAAAGCTTGGGAAATAGAGAATTCTAGGTCTCTGGAAAGACATGGCATTAAATTTGAAATATGTTTTTACATGTGTGCAAAACTGATGTTCCTAATACCTCATCTCTGTGATTTCTCGTTGCACTGTGCAATCTGTACCCATATCCTGGAGTATAACCGCAAGACAGTGAAACTTGCTTAGGATGGTTTTGAAGAGAATGGAGAGAGGGTGTAATTTAATTACAAAGGAATCTGATCTCCATGGGAAACCACTTACCCAGCATCTGCTGCTTCTGCTGCTCTGATCCCCATGAGAAGCATCAGGAAGTGAAGCAAAGTCACATGAGAACACTAAGTTCTTGTGGGAATTCAATATAAAATGGTTAAAAACTGTGCAGGGGATCAGGAATGAAAAATTATAGGAACATAGTGAAAGCAGTTCCAATCAGTGTGGGGGAAATTTAATGGCAGGCCTTCTAACTTTGTTTGATGATATGCAAGTTTCCCTGTACTCACATCACATAAATTTGAAACAACAAGCTTAGTTTACTCACTCTTTTCTGTAACCCTGCAATCTGTTTTCTTGTTTCAACATCTTTTCCTCCAGATTCTAGAAATTTCCTGTATGCCAGGTCAAATGCTTGGCCGATTGTTAAAGTTATCTCTTCAGCCTTTGTAAAAATAAAACAAAGATGATTAGCATTTTAATAATAATGTGTCAGATTGTTGTTTGTGTCTTGGCAATTGAATGAATAGCTGTTGAAATTGGAAGCAAGAATTCTGTCCCACTTCTCATCTCTTTTATCATCGTCTTTTTTTCCCCTAGTTCGTTTTCCTCTGTTCCTCAAACATTTGGTGCCAATTAAATGAATGCCTAGTGCCAACTAGTTTCTTTCCTTGCTCTGCTACTTATTTCCTCTTCTGAGTGAGGAGGGTCTGTCAAACCAGGCAAGTAGCTTGAATGAGGCACCCTGGGTGGTGCTGTGAAAAAGTTGGGGTATGCCCTCTCTGAATGGAGCACGTGCTCCTCTGTCCCCGTTAATTGTTGGTTGTGGAAATGAGCAATTCCAACCCAGAGCTTTCAGATTTTAAATAGGTGAGATGAGGTCAAATATATGAATCTTTATATAAAAGCTCCCAATTTTAAGTGATATTAAACAGTATTTTTGTAAAACAGTGCTAATTGAACAAAATATATCTATTATCTGAATTTGGACTGGTGAATGATTTAGTCTCTGGTCTATCAATTAGAAACTGCCGCAAATATCCTAACTCTACCCTCTCATTCCATCTCCATTCATATCTCAACTGATATCACAGTGCCTTGCACAATGTAAACATTAAAGATTTATTTATTAAATTATAAAGAAGTTTGGTAAAGGCATTAATCAAATGCATCATTAATTGAATGACATCAAATATGTCATATTCAATTCTAAGACCTCCAGATGACATAAAAACTGCTAGTAACATTAATTCTTGAAAGTGCCTTGCTTTCACTAATCTACCCTAAAACTTTCTGCTATGCTCCAAGCAATCTAAATTGAAAATATGCTTTATTAATAAAGCTTAGACTATTTAATTAAGGGATTGTCATTTTTGTAGTTCGCTGTTTAAGGAAGTCTTCTAGCCATAAAAAAAATATTTCTGGGGCCGTCCGAGTGGCGCATCGGTTAAGAGCTGGCTTGGGACACCAGAGGGCCCCGGTTCGGATCCCACATATGAGGGCCAGTGACACTGCCCTCCACAGCTAAGATGCTGAACAACAGCTCAACCTGGAGCTGGGCTGCCCTGAGTCACCAGCAACAGCATAGGCCGCAGCCCCTGCTGCAGTGGGTTGCCATGGGCTACCGTGTGTAGCCAGCAGCCAGCGTGAGTGGCCAGCAGCCACCGTGAGCGGCGTCCAGAAGCCGGCAACTGATCTGCCTCGCCCAGGAAGAGCTCAATGATGGTGCCAACTTGGGCCAGTGAGCAACGTCCTCCACAACTAGACTGAAGAACAAAAGGACTGCAACTTGTCTGTTCCCCTTCCCTGATTCCCCAGAGCTGTTCCCATCCCCAAATTCCCCAATAAAAATCTTTAAAATATTAAGGTTAACTAAAAAATGCAAATTATATATGAAAACTATCCATCTCATGGAAAAGTACAAAAAAGAAATGTCCTTTTAATTTGAATTTCCCTTATTATATTAGCCTAGTTTCATGGATGACTAAGCTAAAATTTTTATCTCCTGATCATATAATATAATTTAAAGAACAAGAATATATTTAAATTAAAAAATACTTTATTTCAAAAAATTATTACATAGCAAACATGAAATATAAGAATGTATAATAAATAGCTTACAAAAAAACAGACCTGGCAAAAATACTGAATGCAATGATTCCTTCTAGTAATAATAATGTATGATTCTTTGGACACATGAACCATTCTTTACAAGTTAACAAGACAGAAGTTTTAAACTTTGTCTTATTTTAAATTTTATTTCACATAATTAAAAAAAAAACATGTAGATGGCATTAACATTTGGAAACAAAATTGTGAAAAACAAAGTATCAAAATGATGACTAAACAGTTGACAGTGACGATATTGGCCTTATGATAAATAAACTAAACCATCACATCATAATATATATCCATAATCCAATTTTAATTTTTAGACTTAAGGAGATGACTGTAGAAACTGTGTAAATATTAAATCTTAATAGTACAACATGATGTACTAAGAAAGTGAGTTCCAGTTGTGTAGCATACTAGGATAGCTGTCCTCTAAATTTCAAACAAGCTCTTAGAAATTCGCATAAGTACTAACTGTATAAAATATAACAAATGAATAGAATGAAGGCCCCAATAAGAGAAGAGGGATTACAGAGAGGTCACAGTCAAGCAAGTAATGATGTAACATGATAGAGTAACATGAAAATGGGAATCTAGGGTCTTGGGCTGTAGTTGTAATTCTGTTGCTATCTAGCTTTGTGATTCTGGTAAAGGCACTAAAGCTCTCTGGTTGGAATTTATTTTAAATATAATGAAAGGGTTGGTCTAAATGGGCCATAATTTCTTTTCCAGGTTTTTTTAAAGTAAACTTTTAACTATGAGATAATTTTAGATTTAAATAGAGTTGTAAGAAATAATACAGAGAGATCCTGTTTACCCTTTATTCACTTCCCCCCGATATTACCAAACTATAGTATAAAGCACAACCAATTAATATTGATATTAATATAGTCAAAATACAGAATTGGAAATCAGCCCAAGAATCCTCATCTTGCTGTTTTATAGCCATACCCTCTTTCTGTCTACCTTACCCTTTCCTTAAACCCTAGAAAAGACTAATACGTTCTCCATTTCTATAATTTCCTCATTTCAAAATGTTACACGAATGGAAACATACAGTATATAAGCTTTTGGGATTCACTTTTTTTCATTCCATATCTGGAGAGTCATCAAGGTTGTTGTGAGTATTACCGTATTTGCCGGCGTATAAGACGACTCGGCGTATAAGACGACCCCCTAACATTTCCACTCAAAATATAGAGTTTGTTATATGGTCGGCTGTGTGCGATTTTGCGAGTGTGGTAAAATCGCATAACAGCAAAATCGCACACAGCCGAGCATACACCCAGCAGCGCTGCTGATGCCTGAACGGTATGTGGAATGAAGAGGGCGGGCATCGGGAGGCCACTATGGCACGGGGCAAGCACTATGGGCAGTCTATCTGAAGTGTACCTGGCGTATAAGACGACCCCCCACTTGGAGGCATATTTTTCAGGGTCAAAAAATCATCTTATACGCCGGCAAATATGGTAACAGTTCATTCCTTTTTACTGCTGTGTAGTAAGTATTCTGTGGTTTGAATGCACTGTTGTCTGTTTAACTATTCACCTATTATGAATAAGCTTCTATATACATTTGTGTATAAGTTTTTGTGTGAATATAAGTTTTGATTTGCATGTTAAGATTTTTATAAAACTGTAAAGTGTTTTTCTGAGTGGTTGTACCATTTTCTATCCCCACTAGCTATGTAGAAGTGATCCATTTTCCCATATTCTCACCATTTGGTATTGTCTCTTTTTATTGTAGTCTTTCTGATAGATATCTCATTTTCATTTTAATTTGCATTTCCCTAATGGATACCAATGTTAACATCTTTGAATGTGCTTATTTGCCATCTGTCATCCTCTTTAATAAAATGCTCCTTCAAATCTTTTGCCCATTTTCCAACTTGATAAATTGTTATGTTGTTGAGTTTTGAGAGTTCTTTATGTATTGTAGATGCTAGTTCTATGTCTGATATAAGTTTGCAAATATTTTCTCCCACTCTTAGTCTTCTTATCCCCTTCATAAGGCCTTTCATAGAAAAAAAAACATTTATTTTTGATGAAGCCAAATTTGTAACTTTTTCCATTTACAGGTCCTGCTTTAGGTGCCAAGTCCAAGAACTCTGCCTAGCCCTACATCCTGAAGATTCTCGTGTTTTTCCCTAAATGTTTTATTATAGTTGTACATTTTACATTTAAGTCTATGATGCATTTTCAGTTAACTTTTATAAAATGTGTGAGGTTTAGGTCAAGGTGTATTTTACTTTTCCATGGAAGTCCAAGTTTACCAGCACCATATGTTGAAAAGGCCATCTTTTACATGTTGCATCTATTGTATTGCTTTTGCACCTTTGTGAAAAATTAGTGGGGTAATTTTGTGTGGGTTGATTTCTGTATTGTCTATTCTATTCCATTAACATACTTATCTATCCTTTTACTAAAACTAATTTTGATTACTGTAGGTGTACAATAAGTGCTGAGTAGGCTAAAGGGATTTCACTTTATTGATCGTCTTCAAAACTGTTTGATCAAGCCTAGTTCATTTGCCTTTCCACGTAGATTTTTTTTTTTTTTTTAGCTGAGCCATCCTGCTACCTGTTGGCAGCTCAGCGGCTGCTCAGCTCGGGCTGGACTCAAACCGCTGTTGCTCAGAGATCAAACTCTTGAGCGAGCTCTTAACCATCCACGTAGATTTTTTAATAGTCTTATCTACATCTACCAAAAAAATCTTCCTATGATTTTGACAGAAACTGTGTTAAACCTGTACATTAACTTGGAGAGAACTGATATATTAATATATATATATATATATATACTAGATTGATTCTCCAATCCATGAATATGGTATGTCTCTCCACTTTTTTGCATCTCTATTTCTTCAATCAGTGATTTGTAGCTTTCAACATATAAGTCCTGTACAAGTTTCACATCTTAGGTTAGAGTTACATCTATGTATTTTGTTTTCTTAAGTAATTGTATATTTCTGTATCCCTATGTTCATCACTAGTATATAGCAATACAATTGATTTTTGCATGCTTATCTATTCTGCTACCTTGCTGAATTCACTTATTAGATCCAGATATTTGTTGTTGTTGTTGTTGTTTTGGTAAACCCATTTGGATTTTCTACATAGATAATCATGTATTTCAAAAAAGTTCAGTTTTATTTCTTCCTTTGCAGTTGAATGCTTCTTATTTTATTTTCTTGCCTTATTGAAATGGCTAGACCTTCCAGGACTGTGTTTAATAAGAATGGTTGAAACAAAAATCCTGGCTTTCTTTTGAATATCAGGAAGAAAACATTTGGCTTTTCACTATTAAGTAAAATATTATCTATAGCTTTAATTTTAAATGCTCTTTACTGAATTAAAGAAGTTTCCTTATATTCCTATTTTTCTGACAGTGTTTAAGCATGAAAAGGTGTTACTTTTTCTTAAAATAAAGCATTGATTATATGATCATATGATTTTTCTTCTTTAGCTTGTTAAAATGGTTGATTACATTGTTGGATATTTGAAAGTTGAATAAGACTTGCATGTCATGAGCAAATTCCACTTCATCTTGGTATATGATTCTTTTTATATTTTGCTGAATATATTTGCTAGTAATTTGTTAGGAACCATTGTATATATTTTCCTAAGGGATACAGTTTGGTCTGTAGTTTTCATTTTTGCTATTTCCAGTTCTGCTATTAGGGAAATACTAGTTTCATAAACTTAATTGGGGAGTGCTGTCATCTCTTCTATTTTTTTTGAAATAGGTTGAAATAGGTTGTTAATTCTTCTTTAAGCATCTTATAGATTCCTCTAGTGAAACCATCTAGACCTGGAGATTTCTCTTTCTATACATTTTAAGTTATATATTCAATTTCCTTTATAGATATGGTGCTATTCAAATTGTATATTTAATATTGGGTGATTTAATATAGCTTTTGTATCTTGAAAAGTTTATTCAATTCATCTATGTTATCAAATTTATGTGTATATAGTCATTTATGGCATCTTCTTTTGCTATCTGGAGGGCGTGCAATAAAATCTCCTATTTCATTACTGACGTTGGTAACTTCTGTCCTTTTTTTTCCCCCCCTTCAGCAATCTTATTAAAATTTTTGTTATTTTTATGATCTTTCAAAGAACCAGCTCTTTATTTCATAGATTTCCTCTATTGTTTTTGTTTTTCATTTCATTAATTTTTTTAATCTTCCTTATTTTCTTCCTTCTGCTTACTTTGAATTTATTTTGATATTTTGTTTTCTAGGTACTTGAGGTGGGAGCTTAGATTATTGATTTCAGACTTTCCTTCTTTCTAATTTTTTAACTTAGTTGTTTTAAATATCTGTATCACAAAAAATGTTATGTTCTACTTCATTTATATATAGTTTGCTGCATCTTAAAATTTTTCTTTGCTGGGCCGGCCGAGTGGCGCGATGGTTAAGAACTCGCTTGGGATGCCAGAGGGCCCCGGTTCGGATCCCACATATGAGGGCTAGTGACACTGCCCTCTACAGCTAAGATGCTGAACAACAGCTCGGCCTGGAGCTGGGCTGCTGTGAGTCGCCGGCGACGGTGTGGGCTGCAGTCCCTGTGGCAGTGAGCTGCCATGGGCTGCCGTGTGTAGCCAGCAGCCAGCGTGAGCGGCCAACAGCCGCAGTGAGCGGCCGTCCAGGAGCCGGCGACTGATCACCAGGGAAGAGCGCAATGATGGTGCCAACTTGGACCAGTGAAACAACATCCTCCACAGGTGGATTGAAGAGCAAAACGACGGCAACTTGTCTGTTCCCCTTCCCCCAATTCCCCAGCACTGTTCCCATCCAATTCCCCAATAAAAATCTTAAAAAAATAAAATAAAAAAAATTTTTCTTTGCAATTTCCTATTTGACACATGGAATGTGTACAAGTGTGACATTTCATTTCCACGCTTTAAAAGACATTTCTTTTATCAAACTGATACTGATTTTTAGATTGATTTTTTGTTGTTGTTCTTTCTTTGCTGTTTCAAATTTTTGAAATTTATTTTATAGCCCAGGATGTGGTCTATTTTACTGCATGGGTTTTCTTTACATCTTCCATTTCTTTGCTTATATTTTTTTATTACTTTGATAAGATTTTTCTGAAAAAAAAGTTTCAAGTGTGCATATAATTTTGTTATTATTTTTAAAAATGTATCTTTTAAAATATTTTTCTGATAATTCTAATACCTCATTTCAGAGTTGGGATCTATTGGTCATCTTTTTCATTTAGTTTAAGATCATCTTGTTTCTTGATAGGATGGTTAATTTTTAATTGAATCCTGGATATTTCTGACATTATATGAGACTAAAAATTATTTAAACTTTGTGTTTTGGGTGGCTCAGTCTGACACAATGCCAGTTAAGAGAGCGGGAATGGGCGAGCACTGCCTCATTACTGCCCGATGGATAGAGATTCAGCTTCCTCACTTGGCCTGTCTTCATTACTGCTTGGCAGGGCTGAGTGCTCTAGCTCCCCATATGCTTTTCATGGTCACCACGGAAGAAGGGAGACTCGTTAATACAACATGATACTGTTAATAAAGTAGGAATTCCAGCCTGTGGCATACTAGGATAGGTTCCATCTATCTTTCAAGCTCTAAACAATTTCACAGAAGCCCTGAAAAGATAAAATGAGTACATAGACAAAGGCCCCAATAAGAGCAGATGGACTCTAGAACAGGTTGCAGTTATGAGAGTAACATAGCATTAGGGGACAAATGCTAAAATGGCACTCTACTGTCTTAAATTTTAATCCTGATTCTCTGGTCTTGGTTTCTTAAAATAAGAGGAAAAAGTTGTGTCAATTGAGCCATAATTTATTTTCCTGTTGTAACACTCTAAGATTAGTTCTTTAAAATGAAAATTAGAAAAGGCATATAAAAAATTCTACTACATATCAAATCAATTTTATAAATGCAGTCATTATTATAATGAGAACAAATAAAACCTTGAGGTAAAGATAATATAATGAAACTTTGAGGAAACATGTCCTCTTTGAACCATAACAGTGATGCACACTTGTAGCTGAGAGGTATCTTGGCCCCTTGCTTTCCAAGGCCCAGGCTTCCATTGACCTGCTGCAGAATCATTTGGTAAACTTGCTAAATGTAGATTTCCTGAGCTCCAGCCCCAATCAATATGAACTTATTTTTTGAAGTCGGAACCAAAGAGCTTTATTTTTAAAACCCCTCCTTATGAATATTATTCACACTAATGGTTGTGAGCCACTGCTATAGACTTCAAGAAATTATTTTCAACCTTCAAGAAAAAAGAAAGCTAACATGCTATATCCAAAGAGGATAATGGGTCAAGGAATTGAAAGTCAGGAAATTAATTACCAACAATTATGATCAGGGGAAAATAATATAACTACACAGGGATTCTGGCAAGCTTATGTTTTAAATAATTGTGTGACAAATTTCTATGGGCGTCAAATCAAGAAAGATAAAATATTTGACACAAAACTGTAAGAAGGCTAATATTTATAATGATCTCTGATTGTGAATATTTCAAAGGACGCCACGGAATTTTATTTCTATGTGTAAGGCAAGAAAGAAGGACAACTAAGTTTACTGCTTTGTGTAAGTGGTGAAAAAATATTCTATGTTACACATAGAATATACCTACTTTAATCTTCTCAATCACATGGAAGAAAACATCTGCAAACAATTATGGTTATGAAGCACTTGGAACATTAAATATAATGCATTCATTCAATAGGATAAATTTCAAAAACAACTTGAACTTCATATAAAATGCCTAACTGTGCACATAGTATTTCTTATATGAGTAAGCATGTTTTTCTGATGAGATGTTCTATAATGTTCATCAAATTCTCAAAAAATATTTTGATGCCCTGTAGCTTAGCACATTAGTTTAGCTTTTTAGAGCACTATAGTGTAAAAGATACAGATAATAATTCATTCTACCTTTTGCCAATTTTTCCAAATTATGTTTATTTAAGGAAAAATTCATTGAGCATTTATTATCCACCTGATGTAGGGGTTATATGGATAAATACAAAGGTTTTTTGTTTTCAAGAAGCTAACATGCTAAATCCAGAGAACTAAATTACATAACAGTGATAATAATATTAGCCCTCTGATATTTTTGACAGCATGAAAAATGAGCAAATAAATGCATTAAGTTCTTTTTCTTGTCTAAGCCAAGAATGTTGTTGAGGTTAGAGGTTCCTCCTTCATTAAAACCACCAATGGCTGTGATGTGTGCTTGGAATTCACATCTTGTTTTATAAAAGGGCCTCAGACTAGGTTATGATTAACAGTAGCTTATGCTTATAATCAAGACACAGGATTTTTCTTAAGATATCAGAAGATTAAAGAACTGTTGCAGAGCTTAACTTTGGAATTCCCTGATTGCTCTTATTTGCTAAGAACTTTAGATTGCCTTCACAAGCTAGCACATAGGCAAGCATACACATTCACAAAAGATTCTATAATCTTTCATTATATTAAGTTTTCTAAATAATGAAAATTAAAAAAAAACATATTTCCAATTATTGGAGATTTTTTTAAGGAAGTCATACAGATTTTACTTCCTGGAGTTTAAAATATTTACTTTCATCAGATCCATTACATTTCAGAAAAAAAAAATTCTGCTCACCATTACTCTTTGCATTACGTGCATATTACTCAATCATATGTAAGATTAAAATTGCAAATAAGTTAAATGATTATAAGAGAAAAAAATGCATAACATAAGCAGGCGTGACATTCTAAGAAAAAAAAATTTGCATGCAAGCTTGTGCCCCTGAACATGAGAATTTGGTTAAGGATGAAATCCTGAAGCATAGTCTCATGACAGGATGGATCTATTAGTGTAGTTAAGTATTTGCAGACCTTATTCATTTCCAAATACTTTACTAATGCCGGAAACAAGACAATTCCTGGCTTGTAAAACAGAACAAACCACCCTAAAACATCTGGCATACTTACACACTTTTCACTGTCAAATACATAGCACAAATGTTTATTTGACTCAGAATCTTTGCATATGAAAGTGAATATCCTCTTGTCAGTTTTATCATCTGCACAAAATGATATTCTATGAAGCTGGCAATTGTGTTGGACTTCCTGTGAACACATGTGGAAATAAACATAGTTGAAGAGATTTTTTTTTCCATTTTCTGAAATACCAGCTTGTGTTAATAACATATAACTTATGATTTTTAAAAGTGAAACAATCATCTGTCAAACTTTAGTTTTATAATTACATACACCCCAATCTTAAACAAATACGTAATGGAGATGGACCTCGTGACTCAGGATTAAACTAAAATAGTCATTTCAATGGTACTTAGAAAAACACAAGCAAAATTCAAAAGGATCAGAAGTTCATGGGCTTTCTGAGCTTGCTAAGATTTGATCTATCACTCCAATTCACGTTACTGTTCATCAGGCTAAAAATGAGTACATAAAGTGAAATATACAAATAAATGCTGAGAACTTGTCTACAGCAGTGCATTCTTTCCTTGCATACAAACCAAATTGTAAGTCATCAAAGGGTTCCTTGGATGCAAGCATGAAAATTAAAAAGAGGCGGTATATTGTAAGAGTGTAATGTTTTTTGTCATTACTAGATAATCTGATTCATCCATTTCAACAGGAGGGAAGAGCCATGCCAAAAAGAAGGGCTCAGCTAACTCAGGCTGTTGATGAGGGCACCTTCCCATTCTTGTGGTTAGTGCTTGTGGTTAGGGACAATGACCACGTCTGTCTGAGACTATCCTTCTCTTATACTTTGATCGACCAGTTTCTTCTCATTGACATGTTTTTTGTTTTCATGTTAGTACAGTCAATCAAACAATAGCCTTCAGTTGCACTGCAGCTCCCAAATACCAATAGCAGGTCAATGCCAGTTTATTAACTGTATGATTATGTTAATGATACATAGAGAGGAAATATCAGTATTAGACTATATAAAAAATGGTTCATTTCTTTTCCATTTACTGAAGAAATGATATGTAACATGAAAACACACCAGTCACATAGCTGGTGGTGAAACCACAGTACCTCCCTCATTCAATCACCTATCAGTATGATCAGAGAAAGCATTTGGTTATGAAAGCTGGAAATCATTTTCATTTTTGTTTAGATTAGCAGAGCTATCTTCTTACAAAAGACTAGGGAGCTGAAACTTGTAATTTTATTATTTGTGTGAGATTTTGTTGTAGTGATAGAGCTTTATGAATTTTAAATGTAGAACTAATTTTTGGTGAGACAGTCTAAAGAGACTCGGGAACAAAATAAAGCACTGTAAGAAAACAATTATCCTTTGACATTGGTGACATTGTATTGGAATTGGAACAAAAAGTAAGTAAATCCCCAGTTCACCTAGCTCCCCATATGCTCTTCTTGGTCACCTAACACTGCATAATCTTCATTTGGGGGACAAGTGAGAAAAGCAGAAAGGAAAAAGACACAGAAAGAAAGATATTGGAGCCTATGATATTGCTTTTACTTCCATTTTCATTGATCCAAATGAGATAGAAAAATAGTTTATTTTTTATCAAGTCCATGTTAGGTTAACAATGAATTTTTAAATCCTGACTCATACATATTTTACTTTAAAAAATTATTTTAGGAGCATGATTTTTAACTTTTTTTTTAACTAAATTACAACTTATACCCAAAATAAAATGAATGAGATATTTTTCTGGTTCACTCATGTCTCCTCAGTGGTTTCTAAATGCATATAACATACTCTATCAGAATCATCTTGGGAGTTGTTTATTTGTAAATAACATAGATGCTAACTAAGCCTTGTTCTGCAGATTTTGAATCTGAAAGGCTTGGATAGACTCCAACAATTTGCATCTATAGTCACCTAGAAGCACTGATGCTCAGCAGAGCTGGAAAATCCCTCTTTTAGATTACCTGTATTTTTAGGGATTCAAAATATATTACGTTCTATATATGTGAATAGAGTAAGATACTCTGTGTTCATATACAATATATGGGTAAAGAACCAGTTGCTCTATGTTTACATGTAATATAATTGAATTTATGAAGTATGATAAAAATTTGGTGAATGTTTACATAAAAAAGTTTATTACAGTAAAAGACACATTGCCATTAATCCCCCTCAAAATATTCTCCCTCGCTTTGAACATACTTATCCCATTGTTCTTGCCACTTTCTGAAGCAGCTCTGAAAGTCCTCTTTTGTGAGTGTCTTTAGTTGTGCTTCAATGTCCTGAATTGACTCAAAGCGTTTACCTTTCATGGTCATTTTGTCTTTGGGGAAAAGCCAGAAGTTTCACGGTGCCAGATCCGGTGAATAAGGTGGGTGAGAATACACTATAATGTTTTTATTTGACAAAAATTGCAATACCAGAAAGGATGTGTGACACGGGGACTTTCAGTTGTGATCACAAAATACAGTGAATGCTGCTGCTGAGTGCCATCCAATGGAAAGGCAGGGAGTTTCAATATAGGGAGTGGAGTGTCAAACCTTAGCAACAGTGTGCGGTAAGTTTCAATTTGTTCAGTGCAGTCAGTTGAGTGTGAGCTACAGTTGAGAGAAGATGTGTTTTAAAGTGTGCCATAAATTATCCCCCATCTTGACAATGCTCTGTGTCACACATCACTTCTGGAATACAATAATTTCTGTCAAATAAAAACATTATGGTGTGTTCTCATCTACCTTATTCACTTGATCTGGCACCGTGTGACTTCTGGCTCTTCCCCAAAGTCAAAATGATTCAGGACATCGAGGCAGCCATGACAGCACAACTAAAGACATGAAAGAGGACTTTCAGAACTGTTTCAGAAGGTGGCAAGAACAATGGGATAAGTATATTTGAAGCATGGGAGGGTATTTTGAGGGGGAGTAATGGCAATGTGTCTTTTACTGTAATAATTTTTTTTATTTAGACATTCACAGTATTGTTTGATCATACCTTGTATAAGACATTTCAAACATATTAAAATTTGAGGTAATTCTTCAAATTTGGTAGGAATAAAAATAGAGATGTCTCTTTCCCATTAAAAGCTTGGAAAACTTACTTAATTTTTGGGGATTCACTTGGGCCTCTTGAAAATTAGGTATTAAGTATAGCAAACTGAGGCTTTGTGACAGGAAAGAAAAGCATTGGTGTTATTGATTTGGGTAAGCCAAAGGAAAAATATGATGATCACAAGTCAATTGGCTAATTGTATTGAGTTGAATTCCACCTCGTTGATGTTTTGTAAATGCGATTTAGGTTGGGGAAGGCAGAGAAATTTGACAGTAAGAGTTTAGGAAACAGAATGATGTAGCTGACAATTGTCAATGGAAACTGATTATTATGGGAGACTTATTAATGGGGGATTCTAGAATAATGAGCTGGTAAAATTGTGCTACATTTGCATTCACATGATCCATCTCTGTCTCTGTTTACCATAACTCTTTGCATTATGTGCATATTATGAAATCATATTTGAGATTAAAAACACCAGTAAACGAAGTGTTTATAAAAGAAATAAATGCACCCACATGATATTATGTTAGTGATCTTGTAATATCTTTAAGTCTTTATATTTTGTGCTCTTGTAAGAATATGCCATCATTAATTGGTCAATTCTAAACACTTAAGAAGTTCTCTCTATATATTGCATCTCATCATATTTGCATTTTCTAAATACTTAAACATTGTATTAATTAATGAGAATCTTGAACCATTATAAATGTTCAATAATAGGATAATGGTTTAGTAGACTATAATGTGTAGATTATGGTATTGGTAAAATTTTTATAGTTTGGATGTATTACGGGTAGTGTCAAATAAAATACAACGCATATGTAAATAATACATAAAGTGTATTATCAGCCCTACATATTTCAAGGTGTGCTTTGACATATCCTAAACATTCATGTAAGGTATTGACTTAATAATTAATTATACACACACACACACACACACACACACACACATACACACACACACACACTCCAAAACAGTTATAGGATCTATTTGGTTTAGAAGAAACTTTAAATGTGGTTTACAAACGACCTGCTCTGGCTGGACATTTGCCACTATCCATTTAATTTTAAAAAGGAAATGCAGGGCTAGGATTATTTTTCTTTCTAATTGTGTATAAGATGACATTTTGGTTGTTATACTTTCGGTTGCATTGTCATTCTATAACTTATTGCTTCCTCAATCGTTCTTTTGTAACTACCATTTGTCTCATGAATTCATCTCAGCCAGGTCACCTGGTCAGTAGATAATGCCTAACTTCTTACTTTTAACTGCCTTGTTTCCCAGTAAAATACACACACTCATGGTGCCAAAAATTGTATACAATTCCAAAAATTGTTACGGAAAAAAATGTATGAAAATTATGCTGATGGTAACCACTTTGAATACTTCTTGTAATTGCAGAAGTCAAATGTGACTTGTATGCATCTTTTATTATCAGTATATATTATTACAATTTTAATATAGTTTTTTCCTTTCTGAAAATATGTGCAATTTTTTTGGCACCCTTTGTGTGTGTGTGTGTGTGTGTGCACGCGCGCGCGCACGCTCTTCCACTACCCTTTCACTATTTCTTTGTTTTCTTTCAGCCACCTCAGCAGTAGCTATTTGGGGATAGCTATAACCAAAGTAAAGTCTCCAACTCTTTGTTATTTAATATTGAGTGTGGATAACAGAAAGAAATTAGGCCCCATAGTTGTGGGAGGTCTTAAATTTATGGTTTGAAAATCTGAAAGAATACCATCGTTCTTTAATTTGGAATTGAATAATAACTGTGGGGGCACCCATGCCATGGTCCAGTTATACTCAAACATATTTAAAAATGCAAAATTTCCACGGAGATTCTGATTCTGTATGCTAAGATAGGCCTTAGAACTTATTTTTGGAAATGGCTCAGGTATTTTTAATGCAAGTACTCCACGGACTATCATTTGAAAATGTGGGCTACTGCATGCAGCCAGCAGACTATCTCGACACCAGAACCCCTCAAACTACAGTGTACATATGAATCACTGTGTTTCTTCTTAAATTATAGATTCCAATTCAGTAGGTCTGGAGTGGGGCCTGAGATTCTACATTTCTAACAAGCTCCCAGATGATGCTGGTCCACAGACCACACTCTGAATAGTAAGACATTGTTAGGGGCCGGTATACACATAGATGAAGGCATCAATGGCAAACACTGGAAAAATTGCAGGCTTGTGAAAAACATTTTCATAATCTGTTTACAGGTCAGGGTTTCCTTGGGCTTTCAAATTGAATTAATTTGTCAATAAGCATGCTACAGTGTTAGAGGAAAGCATTGGCAATATGTATTTGTAAAATAATTGGATAAATGTGAATCAATTTTTCCAAAGTGATGTTCATGGTCTTATCAAAATTACTAAACAAGAACTCTGAGGCATTGGGAATAAAGCACTGTATTAGTTTGTAAGGGCCGCTATAACAAAATTCAACAGACTTGGTAGCCTAAATAACAGATATTAATTTTCTCATAGTTCTGGAGGCTGGAAGTCCAAGATCAAGATGTCAGCAGGCATGGTTTCTGCTGCAGCCTCTCCCAGCTTGCACATGGTCACCTTCTCTCTGTGTTCATACATGGCCTTTCCACTGGGCTTATGCATCTGTCGTGTCTCTACCTCTTCGTATAAGCATTGAGAACCCAGTAGGACCTCATTTAACCTTAACCTTAAAGGCCCTATCTTTAAATAAAGTCAAATTGGGGGTTAGGGCTTCCACATAGAAATTTTGGGTGGAAACAGCTCAGTCCATAATGAGTACATATCGATGAATGTGAAGCCAGAATAGGTGATATTTAAAAGTTTTTTTCATTGGATTTGTAAGGGAAAAGGCTCTTAAATATAGGAAACTTAAGCTTATACTGTGTTACGGGCTAAACTGTGTTCCCTCAAAATTTATATGTTCAAGTCCCCCTGTGCCTCAGCATGTGACTATCTTTGGAGATAAGACTGGAAGATGTGATTAAGTTAAAATGAGGTCATTAGGGTGGCTCTTATCTAATCTGACTGGTGTCCTCATAAGAAAAGAAAACCAGACACACCATGAGACACCATTGGTGTACCTGCCCAAAAGACCATGGGACGAGGCAACAAGGCAGCCATCAGCAAACCAGGGAAAGAAGCCTCAGAGGAAACCAACTTCAACCTCCAGGACAGCAAGAAAATAAGTTTCTGTTGAGACATCAAATCTGTGGTATTCTATTATGGAAGCACCCAGTAAAATAATATATACTGATTATGTCTACAGGCAGTTAAGAGTTAGTTAATCCCAGACATTTTAAGAAACAATACACAGCTTTTGTCTTCTTTCATACTCAATGAACCACACTTGATGCACCTCTTTCACAGCACATGAAGAACAAGTCCTAAATATTGGGCTGTCAGAAAAGTCATGATGCATGTTTGCAACGAAGAACATAGAAAAAAATACGTCATGACTTTTCTGACAACCCAATATAAGACTAATTGCTGCTGAATGCACTTAATGCAAATTATTACATCCCAGACACAAGCTGAAGAAGAGACCATACAGAAAGCAATCCCAAAAGATGTTTTTTTTCCCTCTAAATATCGTACAGGTTTAAATGGTCATTAACTGAGAATTAAACAGCTCTAGATGGTAACAAATTTTACGTATTTATTAAAATAAAAGTATAAATACAATTAATTAAAGATTAGAGTACTTCTGACATTAAAAAATAAGACTTACCTTTGTTTTAGGTTCTAGAATTTTTACTCCATAAATTGATATTTGCAACTCAACTTTAGGAATTTTCTGGCCTTCTGATTTCTTGATATGTCTTGCAAACTACAAATGAAAAATTATTCAAAAAACTGTAATTCTGCTTCCATAGAGAATAAATATAAATACATATGTAGCTTGTATTCAGTGGTGAACTTTCATTAAATTATTGCCCATTATAAAGTTTTTTATAAACCCCACGTAGCCTCAAAATATTTAATAGAAATCATAGTAATCTACTACTACTATCATTAAAATCATACTGGTTGTCAATAACTTTTAAAAAATAATTTTACTGTCTTCTTTCATGGTTTAAATAATTGTATTCATACCAGTTGAGAAAATGAAAACTCTGTGGGAAGAGAAGCAGAGTTCAATTTTTTTTTTCCCCTGTGGTTCCTTTTGTTTTTAACACTGTTAAGGAACTTGCAGTCCACCAGGGTTGGATATGCCATCTTTATCATTTCTAGATACTTACCTTGATTAGTGAACCATCCTACCCACTCAAATCAGTGAATGAAAAGAGACTGATTACCATATTCAAACTGAAGCTAAGAATTGACGTAATTATCCCAGCTAAAATACAGTACTCAGAACTAGACTCAGTCTAGAATTACAAATATAGTTTCTTGAAAATATTAACTTTTTTTAATGCTTTCTTAGTATTTATTGTATCTTCTTATTGAATTAATTAAGTGTATGTAAATGCTCGTTAAGTTCTGTTACAAAATCAAAAAGAAAATCGGAATATTCATGTACTTAGCAGATGGAATTTCTGCCTCTCTGCTAGCACTGTCAGAACTGATGCTGGAAAAAAATTACAGGAGCACAGTTAAATGTGAATATTGAACAATGAATATACTTTAAAAAATTATTTTAGAATACACATATACATTCTGTATGTATACACACAAGTTATACATATACATGAGGTCAGACAATTCAGTTCTCAAACTTGCTGCAATGATGTTTCTAACCTTTATTTGATATCAGAGGAATTATTCATTATGAATTTGTACCAACTGGACAAACAGTTAACCAAGTTTACTCTTTGGAAGTGCTGAAAAGGCTGCATGAAAAAGGCAACCTGACCTGTTCGCCAACAATTCATGGCTCTTGCATCACGACAATGTACCAGCTCACACGGCACTGTCTGTGAGGGAATTTTAGCCAGTAAACAAATAACTGTATTGGAACACCCTCCCTATTCACCTGATCTGCCCCCAGTGACTTCTTTCTTTACTGGAAGATAAAGGAAATAATGAAAGGAAGACATTTTGATGACATTCAGGACATCAAGGGTAATATCATGACAGTTCTGATGGCCATTCCAGGAAAAGAGTTCAAAAGTTGCTTTGAAGGGTGGACTAGGTCCTGGCATCGGTGCTTAGCTTTCCAGAGGGAGTACTTCAAAGGTGACTGTAGTGATATTCAGCAATGAGGTATGTAGCACTTTTTCTAGGATGAATTCGCAAACTTAATTGATCTCATATCGTACACACACACACACACACACACACACACACACACACACATGATATTTAATATAAGTATGTCCCACGTAATGTTTTGGACATACTTATACTAAAAAAATTAGTCACTTTATCTGAAATTCAAAGTTAACAATGTCCTGATTTGTCTAGCAATGCTATTCTTTCCCTACTTTCCTTTTCCCTCCCTTCCCCATCTTCCTTTTTAAGAAGTGAAAAACAGAAAAGAAAAAAAAAAAAACTATTGAAAAGAATAGGATTTCTTTTAGGGCTTCAAAACATTATTTCCTAATATAACATATTTTCAGCATATGGATCATCCTAACCTGATTCAAAATAGGTTCAACACAAGGCAGTGTAGGGTTTCAGTTCTCTTTTGTGTGTCATATTTATTTGCATTGTTCATTTCTCACTAATTTAGGGCAGATGTGAATACACATGGTATAGTTCAATCCTGGAGCAGAGCGTGGTTAAAGGCCTAGTTCTCTTTTCACGGCCTTGCACTGCCATGGAAAATAATATAATTAATGCATATACAAATGCCTTGAAGTGTCTGCCTTGATATCCTGAGGGCTGGGGGATACCATTCATTTTACTTCATTTTGGGTGGCATAATTTTTTAGCTTGCTGTCTGTCCTGTTCTATGAATGTAGGCAGCTTCCTTTTTTTCTTTTTGTATCCAGCCTTCTGCACACGGATTGAACTTATTTGTGCCAGATAATTTTTGTGTGTGTGTCTTTAAGAAACTTGTGAAAATAGTTAAAAATTATCCCAGCTCTCTCCCAAAGAAAGTGGATTAATTTTGTTTCTTTTCCCCTCGTAATCTCCTTCCTGCATTGGCATAATTAAAACAATTTGGGGTGTTCAAATAAAAAGGCTTACAAAATCCATGTATGTGAACGAATCTGAACAAAGCCACTCCCATCCTGGGCTGCAGAAGCATTCCAAGCTGGCTTCCTAGGGGCTCTGTTTTCCAAAAACAGACAATGAGCAGCGGCTCTTGAGGCCTTTTCCACATCTGGACACAACCATTCCTGTGACCTCTTTTAGTTTCTGAAAAGTTTACCACAGATCACTAATATTAAACTTATCTATTGAGCTATTTCTTTTCTGCCAGGAGAAAGGGAAACAAGAATGGAAGAAGGAAGGGAATAGGGGCTCGAGGTAGGAAAAAAAGGGGGAGAGGAAAAGAAGGGGAAACAAGAGAATGAGATAAAGAAAAATACAGATAAAATATCTGATCTAAGACTTGTGAAGCCTTTTTCTCTGCTTCAGATCAAGATGAAGTAATGGTGTTCAAAAAGATTCATAGGTCATCCAAACCCATGCATTGATCATAAAATGGGTCTGCAGCAATCAGGCTTAGAACCTAGTTTTTGCAGCTACCCAGCGCTAAATAACTCTTCTTTTGTACAACATATTTTCTGCATAAAAAAAATGAATGTCCCAGTCCTAGTTTCATGTATAGCAAGGTTTATACTGGTTATTGGCATTGACTGTTACACAGATGTTGCAAGACACTTATGCCTAAGATGCCTAAGGTTGTATTTGCTCAATCTGTATTTTAAACAGAGTATAATAGTCTCATTCAACTCATTTTTTCTGAAATTTATGATTTACTGTATTCTATAATTTGCATGTTCCCTCTAACTCTGAGTCTCTTTTCCTACTTATAGACCTCTTAACTGTGCTCCAAAACACACGTTAGAACTTATATTGAAGGCACGCTCATTGTTTTTACTTACATTATACGAGTCTTCTTTTTTCTCCCTATTTACTACTTGAATGTTAATATGTGGAGAGCCTTTCTGCAAATTTCTTTCCATTTTAGCTTAACCGGATTCATTGCTTGGTCACCTAGATAGCGATCTACCATTAAAACTTGCGTTTTAATAAAAATTATTCAAAGGGGGGTAAAGCGTAACCATCGTGAAGGATATCTGGATACAACAAACAAACAAAAACAAGACTTCGTCACCATAAAATAAGGGGAAGGATGAGGTATTACTTGAAATACATACAGTACTTAAATATATGTCACTGATAAATAGAACAGCTAAAGAAAACTTAAAGGAGCACTACTGAGTTTCAATGTCATCATCACACAATTTGTATTTCTTTTTCAGAGAACTTTTTAAAAATGAAATATAACTACATTACTAATGAAGTATACATCAACAGGCAAAAAAATTAATAAACTTATTAGCCAGCCAAATATTCTAAGCTATTACTCCTCTTGGTGGTTCTTATATTTAATTAATTTTTTTAAAAGTATTTCTAATAATCCTACAGAAAAATCAGCTATGTACATAAGTTTGCAATTAAATTGAGCTCTAACCATTTTACTAGTTAAATTAACTGGTTATGAAGACAAAAGCAGAATGTCATGCCATGTAATGTACAGCAAGGCGACTATAGTTGGTCATTCATAATACTGTATTGTATATTTGAAAGTTGCTAAGAGTGTAGATCTTAAAAGTCTTCATCACAAGAAAAACTTTATTTTGACTATTGTGGTGATGGGTGTTAACAAGACTTACTGTGGTTATCATAAAAACAAAAACAAAACAGGGTGTCATGTCACACAGAGAGAGTGAGGTGAAATGAAAAATAACTCTGGTCCTAGATTTAACAGAACTCAGTCATTTCCATAGCCACATTCCTTGAGATAGCTTCAAGTAATTGTAATTTAGCCCCATTGGGGTGAGTGGTTTCTCCTCTAAAATTGGGGTCCCGGAATGCTAACCCCTGGTTATCTCCTAGAAAATCAAGAAGATTTAGATCTGTATACCAATACTCATCTACATGTACAAATCATAAACAGATTGCTTATAATATATATCGAGTCCTCTAACATTTATATTAGTTGTATTAATAAAAATAAATCACTATTAAAAATTGAATTCACTGCAATAACACTAATATTAAATATATAGAAGTTGAAAGGGTTTTTAAATTATATTTTGGAAAATTTTCTTAAATCTTAGGCTAAAACATAAAATACAAAATATGTCATTTTGACAAATATAGAATATGAAAGTAAAAAACTTTACAATCATAAAAATTATTACATGTAAGAAAAATTTATAAACTGTAAATTATCCACTAAATGACAGAATATATCATGTAATAAAATAAAAGTTTTAAAATTCTTCTGAAAAAGTTTTCCATCACATTGTATTAATCCTAAATTGCAAATTTTTCTTTAATGTCAGAAGCCAATACTGTAATATTGCAAACTTTTGAAAAATTTAGTAAATATAAATAAAATGTTGCCATATGTAGGAAATAAAATAAAATGCTAAACTACAGTGGATAAAAAAGCAGTCAGAATACATATGTTTAAGAAAAATAAGCAAGAAATTAACATGGGGGATGTATACACAAATTAAGTTAATGAGCAAATTTCTTTTCTTTTAGTAGAGCCATAGCACCATCTTCTGGCCATTTCTACATGACGACAGAATTAAAGATGAACCAAGGTCTAAATTATTGTTTTTAAATGTAAATACTATGTAAATACTCATATATTTTAGTTATCGGCTCTGACACACATGCACACAAAAAATAAATTAAAAATAGATTAATTGTACTGTTTTATTCATTTTCATTAGTTCCTGAATCATCACCCTCAGATATACTTTCCTGATACAAAATTTTTGCAATCAGCAAAGTAAAGATTGCTTATTAAATACATATTTATTCTGGAAGAGACTTGAAAGACAAAGCTACTATCAATTGAGTATGCATTTTAAAACAATACCATGTAGTTTTTATCTTATTGAAAAATCACACTTTTTTCTTAACAGTTTATTTCCAAACATTAAACTACATAGGAAATGGGTATAAAGGCCCACAAAAATCTATAAAAAGTAGTTAGTCATTATTTCTAAAGCATTTCATTTCCAATATCTTTATATTTTATAAGCCATTATGTAATTGAATCCTTTAGGTTTGGAATTTGGGTTGACTGAATTAAGAACTCCTAAGTATAAAAAAACCCCATGAAGTGTAAATACCATTACTCCTTTATAAAACATTCTGATGTAGTGAAGCTGGACTCATGCCCAGAGTGTGAAACGTTCTGAGCACTTAAATAGGATCTGATTCTAAATGTTGTCCATAAACTGTGAGACCTTTTAAATTATTCATTAGTGCTCAAAAGTACTGACCAAAGAAGGGCAAGTCTGAATCATTACCTAATAAGGAGTGGAAAGAATAGTTTGGCTAGTCCACTTTTTTCAAATGGAAATGATATCATTTTGGGACCTATAGCATATTAATTTAAAACATTAAGTAAAATATTTACATATAAAATGAATGGATAAAAATATTATCCACATCATCAACAGGTTCTTGGAACTGCAGTGAAACAATTTATAATGAAACCAAATTTACCATAGGTTAACTGAATAAAAAAGAGTTAAGTTCCTGCAGAATCTCATCAACATTGTAACAAAACAACAATGAATGAAACAGCTTTACTCCAGGACCTGCTGTAGTGGTATGTTAGGTGTTCTTAATAAGATAAAAGCGAGAATTCTGATGGAAGCAACCTAAGTTGTCCATGGATGGTTGAATATATACACAAACATATACGTACACATATACATTATATATATATATATATATATATATATATATATATATATATATATATATATATATATATATATATATATATGTATGTATAATGGAATATTAATTCAGCCATAAAAAAGGAAATCTTGCTATTTGAGACCTGGATGGGCCTTGAGTGCATTATGCTAAGTGAAATAAGTGTGACAGAGAAAGACAAATGCCGTATGGTCTCACATTTAAAATCTTAAAAAAAAAAAAAAATTAACTCATAGATACAGACAACAGATTGGTGGTTGCCAGAGGCAGGGAGTGGAAGGTTAGCAAAATTGGTGAAGGTGGTAAAAAGGTACAAACTTCTAAGTATAAAATAAGTCCTGGTGATGCAACATAATGACTATAGTTAATAATACTGTACATTTTGTACTGTACAATTGTACATTTGAAAGTTGCTAAGAGAGTAGATCTTAAAAGTTCTTACCACAAGAAAAAATAATTGTAAGTATGTGTGGTGATGGATGCTAACTATACTTATAGTTATCATTTCACAATATATACAAATATCTAATTATTATAGTGTACCTAAAACTAATGGAATATGTTAATTATATCTCAATTTAAAAAAGATGAGAATTCTGTTGAAGGAGTTTTTAAAATCTTAAAATCTCATTGAAAACAATGTCTTTTGGGATACGATAAAAAAAAACACGCTGAGATATGTGATAACTTCCATAAGATTTTCTCAGGATATTTGCTAATTATGAGTATATGTAGTTGCTTATTAAATGTCCTTTTATGCTCTTCTCTCACCAGTTCCCCATGTCTGCTCACAGACATGGCCAGGTCCTATTTGATTTGTTCATTAGGCTATCTTTAACAGACAGTGTCACTGCAATATTCTGCTTTGGATTCAACTCTAAACTCCATATTTCCAACTGGTTAACTGGTACATATGACATTCTAACTATTAGGGATAGTCATTAGGCTATTTCTAGTTTTTGAGTTAGGGCATGAGTCCACATTCTCCAAACAAAGTTAAGGCAAGATACTGAAAGCCAAAGCTGATGAAATATGGCCATTATATTTTGTTGTTGTTGGTCAGTATGAGAAATGACACCTTAGAAAAATATGAAGAGTGTGCCACATGCCATACTCAGAAAAATAATTAATTACGTGTACACACTTAGTATTAAATATTTCTTTGATCTGGTGATATTTATTTAATAGTCCATTTTTAACTGAATGAAGTCATATCTACCATAAAGTTATTCATGCTTTGATTTCCATCAGTCTTCCAATAACTTAAGGCAGGATCAATACACTAGACATTTATTTGGAGGGCTTTCCCTACCTTTAGTTTCCTTACAGCATCTCTCACAACTTCTGTTCCTTTGGGCTGCTCCACTTCCGTACTGCCAAGAAACTAAAAACGGTCATTTGTGAGACACAGTGTAGGCTTTACTGCATCATATATCATTAAATCATTTTGAAATATAACCTCACATAATAGAATGATGCGATAGTAATAGAAAACTAAATCTTAATTAAATAGAAGAGTTGTTAATTTACATTATTTTAAATTATATGAAAATGTACATATTATTTAATCACATACAATTCTTATTATTCAAAAGTTTTTTAAAAACACATTTTCCTAAATATTTTGCTTGCAGATTTTTACTGGGAAGAAAACTTTATTTAACTGGAAAGAAAAAAAGTCATTTCATTGGGCCCAAAGGAATAAAGTTTAATATTTTAATTTAAATATTAATAATTTAATATTTAAAACATACTGAAATCTTTTAATGTTATCTAAATTCAAAGCATATAAGTGCTTTTTGTTCCTTTATTTAAATGTCAATAGTATATTTTAAGACATTAATATGGTTTAAAACAGATTATTTCAAATGAACATTTTTCTTTGTTTTCCAATTATGACATTCATATTGCATGTAAAATTTTAAAATATAAAATTTTAAAATACTTTTTTAATACCCCATATACATCATCCACCAAAGCTGTAAGCTAAACTACATTAAAAATAAAACATAATTTTACTAAGCATTCAAATATCCCTGAAGGTTTTTGGTTAAAACCAGACCTAGCCAAAAAAAAGAAGAAGAAAAAAGTTTCATAAAAATTAACACATTGTAATAAAACTTCTACTATGAAGAGACATAATACCTCCTAAATAGGAATCTGATATCACAAAATGTTCAGACCCATTAATATTGAAATATGGGCATTTTATTCTACAAAATATTTCTGTATAAATAGCAAATAACTAAATGAAGTGTATATAATTTCCCAAAGACTTTTTTTGTCACATACTACTAATTGTACCACCAAAATGAGTCAAGAATTCATCACTTCTTATATAAATGATTGTGTGTGTGTGTGTGTGTGTGTGTGTACTTTACATAAAATGATTAAATACAATCTTTTTCATGTATTAACACAGAAAATGAAAGGGAACAAAATGGTAATGTCATGGTATCTTTTTAAATCACATTTTATTCCTTCCTTCATTCTTGAAAAAAAAAAGCTAATTAGAATCTTGATTTTCAAAATGGGCTCCCTGTATCACCTGCATGAGAATTTACCCAGAGAGCAGGTTAAAGTATAATAACGCAGACTCCTCAGTCAAGTAAAATTGCATCTTTAAGGGTAGGGCTAGGAAATTCTATTTCTAAAAGCATCCCACATGGTTCTTTGTACTAACGTCTGTGGAACAGATTTAAAAAATAGTAACAGGTCAGGAAGATAGTGGAAGGCAGATACAAAAGGTGAGCTGAAAATACAAGAGATAACTGCTGATCCGCATTCTGATGAGGTCATGGAGGAGGAAAAGCGAAGCTCAGAAGCATTAAGGCAAAAAAAAAGTTTCACTAATCAGATTCTATAAAGTACAGTTCCTTTCTCTCAGATACTCAAACAACTGCTACGAGGACCTAGATACAATATCATCAGGCACTTGGTTTGCCTCAGTGTGACCTCAAGTTGGTTGACCTACGTCTGCAAAAAGACCAAAATCAATGGAGAAATTCTTAGCTTAAAAGGAATTGAAAACCTGCTACTAAGATGTGGGAGACAGCCAAATCTATTCCTGACACCAATGGACCTGTCACTTTTCTTGTTTCAGATCAGTGTATTCAGCCTTGACTGCTATAGGATAGAATCACATGGGAGCTTTAAACTTAGACTGGTGCCTAGCAGTCTGATTTAATCAGTCTGGGGCAGGGCCAGGGCATCTGCGTATTTTAAAGCTCCCCGGGTGATTTTAGTATGCCACCACGTTTGAAAAGCACTATTTTAGATCACCCAGAAAGGATAAAGGGTTCACATGACAAGAGGGGAGTTAACACAATAGGAGCTATTTAGTTTGGAGTAAATCCATAGGGATAAACACCTATTCTCAACATCTTTGAATTTATCACTGAAAGATTCCCTATGAGTGGGTAGTCTAGTGCCAACAGGAACAGGGAGGAAAAGGTAGGTTCTTTATTGGTAAGTGATTCTTGAACTAGAAGAAGGAAGAGTCTGTTGTGTCAATAATGGACTGTAAGAGTTACTGGAAATATTTATGGAAAGAGTATTCATACTTCGGCAGAAATGTCATGAGTCATAAGTATTATATGTAAATAGGCCCATATAGGACATTTATGGAAGAACTCCAAGAATATTCTAAATGAATCAACCTCTTGTTGTGCACCAGGAACCTTTTAATATGTTTCTTTTACACTGGCTTTAATTAATTCACCTGAGTAATGAAACAGGGAAAAGCCTTGAATAATGGTGGGAATTAAACTGTAAAGCCATCTAATAAGGAGCTGGACACTTAACCCATTTTTTTTCTATGTAGTGTTAGATGACCTAAATGGAAATAATTTTAAAACTGAAAAGATTATTCTTTATAATATTTCTTGTATTTTTTAAATAACAAAATGCATCACGATACTTAAACAATTCACATTTGTATGCATTCCATCTGTCTATATAAAATATTTATAAAACTCTTAAATATGATGCACCATGCTGGAATAAACTCTAGGCGTAGAATCTGAAGATGTTAGAAGAAAAGTTACCTGATCTCTGCTTTAATTGACTCTTGAAAAATAAGAATAATATTGCTCTTCTCTCCTTTTAAAAATGTTCTGACGATCAATTACAATAAGAGATGAAAGAAAAAACAACCCTCTGTAAACTGCAAAGTGTTTTATAATTACGAGGGGTTGCCTGTCCTTTATTTAGTGATTGGGGAAGACGCTCAATTTTAGTGAGTACTGCTGGTGCCTGCTCAGTGCTCCTTGGACCCACTTTGTCAGTGTTGAGACCCATCCCTCTAGCTTCCGTGTGCATTGCTGGTAATGGCTGAATTGCAAGACCTTCTGAGGATTCCCTTTGGGCAATGAAGTCACTTAGCCCGTACTGAGAGGTGGGAACACCTGTGAGTTTTGGCTTCCCCCACATCACCACATTCTTTAGCCAATAACTGGTGTGGAAATACAAAGACCCAGCCCCTTTGCTTGGAGCTGGGGTACACGCTAAGGTGTACTATTATGATGCAGAGCTTCCCTTGGAATCAGGCTAAGGCTGGGGTCCCCCAGACGATGTAGTCTTCCTTGACTTCTATCCTTTGTCTGTCCTACTTTCCAGTGTCCTCACTGGTTGCTCATGGAAGTGCTCCCTTAATAAACCCCGCACACTCAAATCTTTGCTTTGAGGTTTAATTCTGGGAAAAACTGACATAAGACACTGTGAAAAAACACTTAAATGCTTACATCTAGGAACATACAGTCGAGGATACAAACCCACAAAGAACTGAAACACTGTCATAAGTGCTATCAATAGGCTTGTATATGGGTTAGAGGTAGGACTTTGGTTTTTATCTTTTTTCATTCTCCATGGTGCCTGAAGGCTGAAAGAAAAGGTGGAACTGAATCATGGCATGGCCAAGGGACTAATCCATCCCATCCCATCCCAACAAAGTCATTAACTAGCTGGGGAGACAAGGCCGGGGGGCTCTGGACTGCAGGATGCTAGAGACCTGGCTGAGAGCAGAGCTGAGGCACATCACTGAAACAAAGAAACTGAGTCCACATGTGGAACTGAAAGTCCACTAGACCTTTAAGGCTGTTAGTCTTATAAGGCTCCAGACAGGATTCTTTTCTAGGCAAAGTGCCCCCAAAAAAACAAAAACAAACAAACTAACAAAAAAAACAAGACAACCTCTGCTGACAGTGGGGTTTCCACATGAAATAAGTCTTGCCTGTATGAAGTTGGACAATTAAGTGTGCAAACTCATCCTAGAAAATGTGCTACATACCTCATTGCTGAATATCACTATGGTCACCTTTGAAGTACTCCCCTTGGGAAGCTATGCACCGATGCCAGTGCCTAGTCCACCCTTCAAAGCAATTTTGGAACTCTTTTTCTGGAATGGCCATCAGAGCTATTGTATTACCCTTGATGCACTGAATGGCATCAAAATGTCTTCTTTCAATATTTCCTTTATCTTCAGGTAAAGAAAGGGGGCAGATCAGGTGAGTAGGGAGTATGTTCCAATACAGTTATTTGTTTCCTGACTAAAAACTCCCTCACAGACACTGCCGTGTGAGCTGGTGCATTGTCGTGATGCAAGAGCCATGAATTGTTGGCGAAAAGTTCAGGTCGTCTAACTTTTTCATGCAGCCTTTTTAGCACTTCCAAATAGTAAACTTGGTTAACTGTTTGTCCAGTTGGTACAAATTCATAATGAATTATCCCTCTGATATCAAAAAAGGTTAGCAACATTATTGCAACAAGTTGGTGAACTTAATTGTCAGACCGCGTATACACAAGAAGTGTCTTAAGTCTCAAAACACAACAAGTATGTACATATATTTGAGGAAAGCCTCTCACATGAAATACAGGGAAGAAAACAAAGAAAACAGGAACAAAAAAGAACAGAAAAGAATCTGAAAGAAAGCATGGACAAAAAGATGACTAAAAATCTAAAGTCCATAAACATTTAGAGAATAAAAAGAGCTCAAGAAATTAAAAACATAATGCAGGCAATTTCCAATGTAGTAAAAATATTAGAAGATGAAGTTGAGAAAATTCATCAAAACGGAGTTATTGGGTGCTTACCATTTATCTAGTACTCTTTTAGGATTTGGGATTCAGCAGAGAACAAAACAAAGCAAATTCCCTGTCCTTACTGACCTTACACCCTAGTGGAAGGAGCCAAACATAAACAATGTGATATAAATAAGTACTAAATTATATAGTATTTAAAAAGTGTCCTGGAGAGGTAGCAGAGATGAAGGGGAGCAAGTGCAAAGTACGCAAATGTGTCTGTGTGTTGTACCATTTAAAATAGGAAAGTCAGAGGAGATCTCACCCATAAGATAAAATGTAAACCAACCAGAAAGGCAGTGATAT